GCTAGTTTTTACTGATGGATCTTCTAATGGAAAGGCTGCTTATGCTCTTAATGAAAAAAGTTATGTAGTACAAACAACTCCAGCTTCTGCACAGATAGTGGAATTACAGGCAGTGAACATGACTTTTCAGGTTCTTGTAGACAGGTCATTTAACTTATATATAGGCAGTCAATATATTTATAGAGCTCTTCAAATCATAGAAACTGTTCCCTATATTGGGACTAACAACAATCAAGTTAAAATGTTATTTCAACAAATTCAAGATGCTTTTCATAAAAGAAAGCTGCCATGCTTTGTGGGCCATATTAGAGCTCACTCCAATCTTCTTGGTCCTTTAGCTGAGGGTAATGCAATGGCTGATAAGTTAACAAAGATAGAAGCATTATCCCAAGTGGAATTGGCTCAACAGTCACATACTCTTCATCATCAAAATAGCAAAACTTTAAGAAAACAACTCAATCTTACCAAGGAAGCAGCTCAAAAAATAGTTAAATAATGTGGGGTCTGTCCAAAATATTTTCTTGTCCCTCACTTAGGGGTAAACCATTGAGGTCCTTCTTCCTAATCATCTATGGCAAATGGATGTCACTCATATTGCAGAATTTGGCAAATTAAAATATGTATATGTGACCATTGATACTTATTTAGGATTTTTAATGACTAGTGCACAATCTGGGGAAGCTACAAAGCATGTAATTACACACTGCTTGAAGTGTTTTTTGTATATGGGTATAACAAAAATCATTAAAACTGATAATGGCTCTGGATATAGTAGTAAGGCATTTCAACACTTTTGTACCCAATGGAAAATTGAACATAAAACAGGTATTCCTTATAATCCTCAGGGACAAGGTATTATAGAAAGGGCTCATATCAGTCTTAAAATACAGCTTCAAAATCTAAAAATAAAAAGGAAGAAATTTATCCTCAATCACCACATAATGTGTTAAATCATGCTCTTTTCATTCTGAATTTTTTGAATATGGATGTCTGTGAGCAGTGTGCCATGGATAGATTTTGGCACAGTGGTACCCAAGTGACTTTTGCTCAAGTGAAATGGAAGGATCCCTGCTCAGGATTATGGAAGGGTCCTGATCCTGTGTTAATACAGGGTCGAGGACATGTTTGTGTTTTTTCACAAGAGGAGAATGAAGCTTGGTGGCTACTGGAGCATTTGGTAAGGAGCATGGAACTAAGGAAGGTCAGCTCCAATGACATTCCCATAGAAGAACTGGAATGAAAGTGGCTGAATTAGTGTTTCAGAGTTTTTGTCACTGGTTAATGCAAAATGTAAGAAAATGGAGTTTGGAGCTATGCCACTTTTTGGCTTTATGGCTCCTTTGGGGAAATACTTTATATCGCCTAATAGCTGTGTAAGAAGATTTTTGCTAAGAGATTTACAGCTGTTCAATATGGTAATTTCACCCTCAGCCTGAAGCAAAGCTTTTCAGTAGAGCAAACCAAAAGTACTGCTGTAACAGAAACATTTGTCTAAATTGAAGCACTTAGGGGAGCTATTATGAATTGGGGTGAAGGGACAGCCTCTAGTTAAAAACTATTTACCACTGAGAGCACATCTCTGCTGGTTCCAGAGTGGCTGAAAGAACTCAACAACTTTGGGGTGTGGCTTCATCCCAAGAATGTTACAGTCCCCTAGCAACAAGAGTTACAACTCCATAACAACACTCACTAATCCCAGTGTTGTATATCAAAGCTGACTATAAACTCTGAACTTTAGAAATGATTTGTGTACTTCCTGTTGTGTTAAAAGAGTCTAATAGTTCTATAGTATAAGTTTGGTAGAAATCTTTTAAGTGTTTGCTAAGTTAGATATATGCTAATAGATGTATAGAATGTCTTTAAGACATGTAGTAATAAGTAATAAAAAGTAAAGACATGTAGTATATTTGCTAAGGTAGTCCTACAATAAGCTTGTAAAAAGTAAAGATGCTAGTTGCAAATGTAAGTTTAAATAAGAATATAAGGAGTAAATATATAAGTAAATGTAGGTTTAAATAAGAATGTAAGAAGTAACTATATAACTGTATTTGCTAAGGAGTTTCTTTAAGAATATTAGCTTGTAAGAAGCATAAATTGAAAGACCCTAGCCCTTCAGGCTTACACCCCCAAGCCTCAGAAAGAGAGAAACTTTAAGCACCAGGAAATGAGAAACTAAAAATCTAGTTCCCGGGGCAACCTGACTCAGCCACTACTCAATCACCCCTGTAACAATATAACAATGTAAAAAGATTTCTGTTAAGAGATGTGCTCAACTGTGACTGGGATAGTTGCAAGTGTTCCAGGAAGGACCACTGTGACCTTTGTGTAAGCTCAACTCCCGCCCTGATACCCCCCTTGAGGTTTCAGGAAAAATGTACCTGTTGACATGACTGTACCCACTCTGTGATCAGACCATGATCTTGTGGAAAAAAATTGTATGGGAATTGTAATCTTATGGCTTTTATGGGTTTTTCCTTTAAAAGCCCTCATGGGGCTGCAGTAAGATGCGACTCTTGCTCTTGGGAGCAGAGTTTGCCCATCTGTACAGATGTTTCTTCAATAAATTCCTCGTGCTGTTGCATCAACTGGACTGGAGTCTGGGTTCTTGGGGCACCCACTTGAGACCCTAAACTTTGGGGTCCAACAATTGGAGGTTCCACCGAGATTTTGGGGGTGCCCCCAACCCCCACTCTGCCAGTTGGAGGTAAAAAACGAGCTCGATCAATGTTTTATGGTTTTGTGTCCTTGTCTTTTGTCTGGTTGATACAACTATAGTGTTTCTCTCCAGTATGAATACTTTCATTATTCTGAAGATGACCATAATATAAAAATGCTTTTGCACATTGAGTATATATTTGTATTCAGTGCCTGCAAAAGTGTGCAGGACTTGTGTCTGGGACTTGTGTGGGAGAGCAGACGTGCTCAAGGGTCCCTGGGTCCCCACGCTGGAGGTCCAGAGTGATCTGAAGAAGGAGATGAGTGTCTCCTTCCTTGGGGGAGCGAGGCTGTTCGCGGCCACTCCCATTTGAATTTGTGTTTTCGGTTTGGGCCAGTGGAGCCAAATCAACTACCGCGCAGACTGTGTCTGTCCATTTCATGTTTTGTGTTATGTTTTATCTAATTCCCTCTACCCCACTTCCCCTTTATCTGCATACTCCCTGCTCCCCACCTTCAGGCAGTCACAGCCACCGGCCAAGTTCCCCTGACTGCTGAGCACCACTGAGCGCCACGCCCCTGCAGCCAGGCACACACTGAACCACTGAGCGCGGGCCGGAGGTCCTGTTCTTCTGCGCCCCCCCCCCCCCCTGCCGCCCGGTGCTGGTGTTGGCTGGACTCCCGCTGGTGGGCCGGACTTCCGCTCTAGTTGGCGCTGCTCGCGGCGCCTAGACTCGCCCGGACTGTCGGACTGTCGGATTCTCATGGTAGGTCTCAAAGGAGCAGGTAGACGCCCACCAATTTGGCTAAGGTAAAAAGATTTTCACACTGGGACATCACAGATTTTTCCCCTCCACTTGCTTCCTTGCTCTCTCTCTGACCAGAGCACAGGCAGTGGCTGCACAGCTGTGGGGACCCAGGGCACCACAGAGAGGGCTAGGCAGCCTGTAAGCATCTGGGCAGAGCTGGCCTGGAGCCAGCAGGAGCCTCAAGGAGCTCAGAATGTGGGGGATGGTGGAGAACTAACTGCTCTTCCAGGGTCACAGCTGACAGGTCTGTGGGCCCAGCCAGGGCATGGAATCTCCCATGCTGTTGGATGGGACTCCCAGGACCTGCCCTGGAGTTAAAACCTGATCAGGATCTGGCTCCAAGAATGGAATGTCACTCCCTATATGAGGTTAACCAACAGTTTCTTGTCTATGGTACAGTGCTGATGCAAATTTAGATTTCTAGATTACTGAGGGGAATCACAAGAAAAACTTTGATCTGGAAGGTTATAAAAGGTCAGTAAACTGTTTATACCTACAAATACTAAATTTGAAAATTAATTCTGGTTGGTTTTCATCTTAAAAAATGGCTAATGATTCTGCAAACTGCTTATGTATATATATGGACAGGTATATGACTTGGAAATATAAGCAAGCTTTAACTGTATGTATGTATGCATGTATGTAATTTGGATCCAACTGTGTGTATGTGTGCAAGTAATTATTGCTTTTAAAATATATATATATGTAACACCTAAGTACTTATGTCTTTACCAAATGTTCAACAAGTTTCTAGAAAATTTAAATAGATAACAACATATGTTTAATAAGATATTTGATAAATATTAAAACTACACATCAATGCTTTTACACAGAAATATACCTTGCTTTGACAGCTAAACTTTGTAATTTAAGATTTACCCATGTAAAATGATAATGATTTTAAAAACATAAAAGGATCATATTAAACAGCTGAGGTTTGCAAATATATGGCAGGACTAAAGTTCCAAAAAGTCTGGTTGCAATTGTGGACCTTAGCAGTTTTAAAAATTGCCAGTGTCAGGTGATGATCACCAGAAAGTACCAGCCATAATAAAATAAAACAGACAGGCTATGTATGTACTGCCAAAGGCAGGGTCAAAGAAATCATCCAAGAAATCATCTCTAAATAAAAGAACCAAAAAGACTATAAATGAATGTCAGATATTAAACTTTGGGATTGTTTGTACTCTGGAGCTTGGTTTCAGATTATGAGGATGCTGTGTTTTCTCCCCCTTAAAGTAAAAAAGGTACTTCATTGTTATTACAAAACACTTTGAGAGATCTTAATCTTTTAAGAACAGTTTTTATAGTTAAAAACCAATGACTTAAAAATGTTTCTCCTTACCCAAGGTACATTCAGGCTTGAAAATGTTGTCTAGCCTGCTTGTATTTGCTAAGTTTGTTAAACTTGAGTTATTTGGATAAGCTGATACATATATATGTCTTATATTGATATTTTGTTTTTGCTTCTTTACTGAACCTGTGTTTGATGCTAGAAGAGCTTCAACTTAAAAGCATTGTTTTAATAGTCAGTCATGAGTAATCAAGTTTCTTTTAATTATAGTCAGGGAAAATAAGTACTGATATAATATTACAGAGATAAGTTTATTCATTTACTCAGTCCCTTGTATATGTTTTCAGGGTTGAGCTTGAAACAAGTAATTAGAAACAAGGTTTGTCATTCAGACATCTGGACGGCCCTCATACTTCAGAGATCTGCAGAATATGGCATTTAAATGTTGATCTAAAAGTTTATTATATCAGACAGGCTTCCAGATCCTAGCAGTGACCCAAGGTATCAGAAGATTACATACGAGGCACCACAACGTCTCTGCCTGGATTATGACAACGCTGACCACAGGGCAAGATGCCCCAATGCAACGCCTGCCGCCAGAACCCAGCCCAGACTGGGGACAAGTAGTAGGACACTGGAATTGAATGCACCCTTTTGCCTGATCAAGGTCAGTCTTCTGTGTCCCTATTCCACAGGAAAAATACTCTGCCTCGTGGGCCTGATGACGGAAGAAGATTGATGCTGTTCTGACTGGTGCCTCCAATGCTATGGAGACCTGGGTTGAGATTGGTCCCTGTAATTTATAGGATTAGAAGCTTCTTGATCTACACTCAGATATAGTTTATCCTTCTCAGATCTCTGACAGTACTAATGGCTAGGCTAGCTCTAACTTTGTCAGCATGGCAGCATCAGACATCCAGATCCTTCTGCAAGGCCATAGCTAGCTTGTTAACTCACTTTTAAAAAATGTTCTGAGATATAAAAGTTTAAGTAAGTCTTAAAGGTTCAGATATGAGTCTAAAATGAGATATGTTTCAGATTACTCTCCTGTTCTATGGTTCAGAGCTTAACATTTAAGAGTCCTGATGAGCTGGTAGAGCAAAGACTATTTACTGTTCAGTCACAAGCCCAACATTTAGATTTGTTTTAGATGTCATCTAAATATGTCTAAATGTAAAAGTGCTTCTCACCAGGCCAAAAATCTCTGTCCAACTTATACCTGGCTTTCTGGACAGAAGAAAAATGCCCAAATCTGTAGTTCTTGTTGGGACGCAAAGGTATGAGTCCACTTCTGCTGTTTTACAGATACCCATTACCTGCTTTATCTACAATATGGATTTCAGTACAGATTGATAATACTAATGTATCCAAAACTTTTATGTCATTTTGTAAGTAGGCCTCAAAGGATCAAAAGAGTCATAAAAACCTAGACCCACTTCACAGAGGTCGAAAGGACACCAGATAAGTATTCCTAAAGATGGTATTTTTCCTCTCTCCTGGTCTTGGGACTACTGCTTCTGCTTTTCCCATTATTAAGGGTATGGACCTAACGGTTCCAAACAAGTTCATAAATTTTAACTTCTGTTTCTAGTTTAAATTTGTCTCGACAGATTTTTGCTTGGCTGGCAGACACCTCCAAGTTTCAGTTGCTGACTCCACTGCTCCAGACAACTGTGGGCTCTGGACTTCCTAAAGGCTAATGTGGACCAGCCCAGTTAACATGATTCTTCTCTGTCCCTAGGGGGTCAGGCTGCCACATGCTACTGACAAATGCTCCCTGCCCAGTCTTTGACCAGCTTTTCAGCCTTTTGGGCGGAGGGGCCCTGATACCGGCGCCCCAATGCCAGCTCGAAGCAGTTCCAGAAGAGAATACGTCATCCCATACTCCTTGTTCAGAAGAGGCTGAAATGCTGGGTCAAAAAAAAAAAAAAACTCCCTAGCATAGAGACAAGATGGCTAATTATACATGGACTATGCATGGCCATTACAGGCCATGAGTTAATGTAATATCATAATTTTAAGATTAAAATTTGCCAAAAAGAAAATAGGGGACTGAAAGACCCTAGCCCTGCAGGCTTACACCCCCAAGCCTCAGAAAGAGAAAAACTTCAAGCACCAGGAAATGAGAAACTAAAAATCTAGTTCCCAGGGCAACCTGACTCAGCCACTTCTCAATCACCCCTGTAACAATATAACAATGTAAAAAGATTTCTGTTAAGAGATGTGCTCAACTGTGACTGGGATAGTTGCAAGTGTTCCAGGAAGGACCACTGTGACCTTTGTGTAAGCTCAACTCCCGCCCTGATACCCCCCCTTGAGGTTTCAGGAAAAATGTACCTGTTGACGTGACTGTACCCACTCTGTGATCAGACCATGATCTTGTGAAACAAAATTGTATGGGAATTGTAATCTTATGGCTTTTATGGGTTTTTCCTTTAAAAGCCCTCATGGGGCTGCAGTAAGATGCGACTCTTGCTCTTGGGAGCAGAGTTTGCCCATCTGTACAGATGTTTCTTCAATAAATTCCTCGTGCTGTTGCATCAACTGGACTGGAGTCTGGGTTCTTGGGGCACCCACTTGAGAACCTAAACTTTGGGGTCCAACAATGAGTATATGTTGATATGTTATATGTGAGTCTGTAAAAAAGTGTAAATGTTGAGTGTGAGTGTATGCTGAATGTAGATGGTGAAAAAGTGTAAATGTTTGAATGTGAGTCTATGCTTAATATATCAAGCTGGCAGTCTGAGCATTTTCAAAATCTCCAGAAGCTGCTAAGATGCTAAGAATTGCAGACAACAGAACCTGTATGACAATCACAGACAGGCATCTGCAACTGAGACCCATTGAAAAATCAATGCAGCAAAGAAAAACCTGAGCTAGCAGCAAAAATGGCGCAATTTAAAATGCTACTGTAACTAAAGATGTCTTTGGCTTGAGAATGAAAGCTGCAGAGATGCTTGTCTGAACTAAAATTGTTAGCTGCAAAAAGTTTTTGGTTGTAAAACATTTCTTCATATTTGGAAGGCTGGTACCATAATTTATTATTTAAATTTTGGTACTTAAGAAATGAACAAAAGTGATTTCATTGCAATGGGATGACCTAGGAACTGTTTTCTGGAAATATTTGCGCTAAAAAAAAAGTGAACTGTTTAAATGAAGAAATTTATTGTTTCTACCTAGGCTTGAGATAGTTTTGCATAACTGTGGTGATTCATGAAATGTTATGTGTTAAAAATGGAACTTTTAATGGAACTGTTGATGTAAAAATGGAATTACTTGTGAAACTGGTGTTGTGTTTAAATGGAAAAGTTTGGATTTTCTTCTAACTAGGTTCAAAATTTTGTTTTAAAAAATTATAAAGAAAAGAGGAAGTAATGAGTGAATTAAGGTTGAGTGTATTGACAGTAATCCACCCTGGTTTTAAGTTAATGAAACATTTAAGTTTGATGTGAATACATCAGAAGTTTTTCCTATGTTCTCTTAGCAAGAAATTCAAATGGTTCTGTTAAGAGTTTGATTTGAGATCTAAGACTGACAGAATTGTAACTATGTATAGCAAAATTTGTTAACCTGCTGATGTTAATGATGAAACTAAGGGATTCTTTAAATTTGCAAATACATTAAGAGTTTTTGGGTTAGAAAAGGCTGGATGCAGCTAAGACTGCTGTAGTCACCTTGGACCCAATCAAAAAAAGAAATGTCATCTTTATTATTCTCAATTCCCATACTGGAAGAGGAGACAGCTATGGAGATTGCTATGAACTATTAATGAGGAGGTTTTTTTTTATATATTAAGAAAGGGGGACCTGTGGGAGCCCATTTTCAGGTTTCCTAGTGGCTTTACCCAGCAGGTCTGCATAGAGAGGATTGGACACTGGGTGTGAGTGCAGGTGTCTGAGATGATCTGCACTGGGCTGTGCTGGGGGGAGGTCTTTTGCTCCAACCCTTGGCATTTCTGTAAATACCCTAGGGCAGAGACAGTCAGGGCCTGTTGGAATAGGTTCCAGGCCCTCTCGAGGTTATCCTGTATTTTCTATCAGTTTCTCCCCACTCGAAATCCTTCTATCTAATATTTTCTGCTGCTCCTACTCAAGAGCACTCTGGGGAAATGCAGGGGTGATGGGTAGCCCTCCCACAATTTCTGGAGATTTAGGTAATGCTTGCCCTGCTGGAAGAAGTATGTCCCTGAGTGTGAACATGAGAGTTCACATCCACACACCATTTCCAGTTCCCACTTTCACCTTCATGCCACAGGTGGAAGATGTGAATTCTTAGCTTCCTGCCTTAGCTGCCATGTTTGACACTTGTTGCCATGCCACTTTCATGGTGATCCTGAATCTTTCTGGACCTAAGGGCCAACTATTCCACAAGTTGACATAATGTTTTATCACAGCAACAGAAAAGGCACTAATACACATCAAGTTTTATACCTGGATGCCTTAATTTCATGTAATTGAAGAGAACTGTGGAATAGAAAGGGTCTAGCTCATCATTTAAATTCATAGGTTTTTGTCCATGAGTTTGAAGGTGCAAATAAAAAAGAGGGACATCATAATGCTTGAACATATTGGTGACACTTGTCAAATATTTTCTCCAGAGTAATCTTGTGTAACTGAATGTAAGTCTGTTGGGTAAAGATCTTACTAAACTCTTTATGGCCAAATTTCCCTCAGTATTAGTTTTTTTTTAGGCCCTGAAAGACTACTATAAAATGAAAAGGCCTTAACAAATTACACATTAAGTTTTGTTCTTGTATAAAGACTAATATAAACTGCAAAACTTTACCACATTCACTACATTTATAGGGTTTCTCTGAGTGTGATTTTTTTCTCATGATTTCAAAGACTGCTGATTCATGCAAAGGCTTTACCATATTGATTACAATCATAGGATCTCTCTCCAGTATGTGTTTCTTTATGCCTTCAGAGACTACCTGCACATGCAAAGGCTTCACCACATTGATTACATTCATAGGTTTTCTCTCCAGTATGTGTTCTTTCATGCACTTGAAGACTGGTCTATTGTGAAAAGACTTCACCACATGGATTACATTCACAGGATTTCACTCCAATATGTGTTCTTTTATATTTGGAGACTATTGGCACATGTAAAGGCTTAACCACATTTTATTCATTGGGTTTCTCTTTAGAATGTATTTTTCATGTATTTAGAGAGGACTATGGCATGAAAAGGCATTATCACATTGATTATATTTGAAGGGCTTCTCACTAGTATTATGTATTTATGTATTAGTATTTATGTATTCAGAGACTACTGGCACATCCAGGTTTTACCTCATTGATAACATTCATAGGGTTTCTCTCTTGTATGTGCTGTTTTATGGATTTGGAGGTGATTGTGTTTTGAAAAGGCTTTATCTCATTGATTAGATTCATAGGGTTTTGTAGCTAGAGTTTTCTTGCCTGGCTCACAGCTGCTCAGACCCAACCAAGTAAACACAAAAACTTATATTGCTTAAAAACTGTATGGCCGTGGCAGGCTTCTTGCTAACTGTTATTATATCTTAAATTAATCCATTTCTATAAATCTATAACTTGCCAGGTGGCTTGTGGCTTACCGGCATCTTCACATGCTGCTTGTCAAGGCGGCGGCTGGCAGTGTCTCCCTGACTCAGCCTTCCAATTCCCAGAATTCTTCTCCTCCTTGTCCTGCCTATACTTCCTCCTGCCTGGCTATTGGCCAATCAGTGTTTTATTTTTTTAACCAATCAGAGCAACACATTTGACATACAGACCACCCCACAGCAGGGTTTCTCTCCAGTATATGTTATTTTATGTATTTAAAGATGACCTTGAATTGCAAAGGCTTTAGTACACTGATTATAGTCTTAGGGTTTCTCTCCAGTATGTATTCCTTTATATATTCTGAGATTGTTGAGACATACAAAGGTTTTGCCACATTCATTAAATTCATAGTTTCTGTCCAGAATGCATTCCTTTTGTATTTGGACATGACTGTGTCATATAAAGGCTTTATTACATTGATTACATTTGTAAGGTTCCTCTCCAGTATGAGTTCCTTTATGTATGCAGAGATTACCAGCACATGCAAAGGCTTTATCACATTGACTACATTCATGGGGTTTCCTCTCTAGATTGTGTTCCTTTATGTATTTGGAGATCAGAGTGTTGCAAAAAGCCTTTATTACATTGATTACATCTGTAGGGTTTCTCTCCAGTGTGTGTTCTTTCATGTCTTCAGAAACTATTGGTACATTCAAAGGCTTTACCATATTGATTACATTCATAGGGTTTCTCTCCAGTATGTGTTCTTTCATGAATTTAAAGGTTACTGTGTTGTGAAAAGCCTTCATCACATTGATTACATTTGTAGGATGTCTCTCCAGTAATGTGTTCTTTCATGTCTTTGGAGATAACTGTGTCGTGAAAAGTTTTTATGACATTGACTACATTTGTAGGGTTTCTCTCCGGAATGTGTTCTTTTATGTCTTTGGAGATGACTGTGTTGTGAAAAGGCTTTATCACATTGATTACATTTGTAGGGTTTCACTCCAGAATGTATATTTTCATGTTTTAGGAGACTACTGGAACATGCAAAGGCTTGATTACATTGATTACATTTGTAGGGTTTCTCTCCAGAATGTGTTCTTTCATGTATTTGGAGCTGACTGTGTCGTGAAAAGTTTTTATGACATTGACTACATTTGTAGGGTTTCTCTCCAGAATGTGTTCTTTCATGTCTTTGGAGATGACTGTTTTGTGAAAAGGCTTTATCACATTGATTACATTTGTAGGGTTTCACTCCAGAATGTGTTCTTTCATGTTTTCGGAGACTACTGGAACATACAAAGGCTTGATCACATTGATTACATTTGTAGGGTTTCTCTCCAGAATGTATTCTTTCATGTATTTGGAGCTGACTGTGTTTTAAAAAGGCTTTATCACATTGATTACATTTGTAGGGTTTCTCTCCAGTATGTGTTCTTTCATGCATTTGGAGAGTACTGGCACATGCAAAAGCTTTATCACATTGATTACATTTGTAGGGTTTCTCTCCAGAATGCATTCTTTCATGTATTTGGAGACAACTGGGTCGTAAAAAGGCTTTATCACATTGATTACATTTGTAGGGTTTCTCTCCAGTATGTGTTCTTTCATGCCTTTGGAGATAACTGTGTTGTGAAAAGGCTTTATCACATTGATGACATTTGTAGGGTTTCTCTCCAGTATGTGTTCTTTTATGTATTTGGAGATAACTGTGTTGTAAAAAGGCTTTATCACATTGATTACATTTGTAGGGTTTCTCTACAGAATGTGTTCTTTCATGTATTTGGAGACTAGTGCCACATGCAAAGGCTTTATCACATTGATTGCATTTGTAGGGTTTCTCTCCAGAATGTGTTCTTTTATGTATTTGGAGAGTATTGTTTTGTGAAAAGGCTTTATCACATTGATTACATTTGTAGGGTTTCTCTCCAGTATGTGTTCTTTCATGTCTTCGAAGATTACTGGCATATGCAAAGGCTTTACCACATTGATTACATTCATAGGGTTTCTCTCCAGCATGTCTTCTTTCATGTCTTCGAAATCTACTGGTACATGCAAAGGCTTTACCACATTTATTACATTCATAGGGTTTCTCTCTAGTATGTGTTCCTTTATGTATTTGAAAATGATCATGACTTGTGAAGGCTTTATCACACTGATTACTCTCACTGATTTTCTTTCCAGTATGTGTTTCTTTATGTATTTGGAGACTAATGTTGTGTGAAAAGGCTTCATCATATTGAATACAACTATAGTGTTTCTCTCCAGTATGAATACTTTCATTATTCTGAAGATGACCATAATATAAAAATGCTTTTGCACATTGAGTATATTCAGAGGGTTTCTCCCCAATATGATGTTCTTTGTACCTGTAAAGATAATTGGCACATGTAAAAGCTTTATCACATTCAGTACACTGATGAATATTTATATCTGTATGAATTAATTTTACAATTTTGTCTAATTTTTAAGACAAATAAGATCTTAAAGCTTATACTCATAGTGTTTCCCTTCATTTAGGGCTGTTTTGTGTCTTTGAAGGTATCTGTAATGGTAAGAGCCTTTATTATAGGGTCCACATTTATAGAATCTTTTGTCTATATGAGATTCTTCACATACTTAAAGAGAACTGGAAGAACTCAAAGCTTTAACATACTTACTGCACTCATAAGTTTTCCAATAGTGAGAGTCATACTCCACTTGCAAAGTGAACCAGGACAATAGACATATTTATACATTTCAATACTCATAGAGCTTTTCTCCAGTCTGGGTGTCTTGATGTATTCCCAATAAAGTTGGAAAATCAATTAAATTTAAACTTGTATCACATTCAAAAATTCTACTCAAAGTGGGGACTATTACTTATCTTCTAATTATTCTGTGTGTGTGAGAGAGAGTTATGTTGCATACTTCCTATGCTCACATGGCTTGTTTCCAGAGTAGTATATGATATACTGATAAAGGAAAACAAACAAATAAAATGTTTCCCAATTGCATTCACACAACTTGACTTTCTGTTCCTCATAGATATATTCTTGGATATATACTTATCACCTATTCAACACAAATTCCTTTTACAATATCTGAGTGGCATGAAATTAAACAGATTGGCTGTTCAACAGCAGAGCTATCATGGAGCTGTAATTCAAATGGGAATATCAGTGAAGGCATTGTTTCACTGTGTTCTTTCATAGAGGAATGCCTTGAAAACACATATCAGCTACCTGACATTGAGGTATTTGGTTTTGTGAGAACTTAACAATCATCACTACACTTTAAACTGTGCTTATTTACATTGTCACTTTTATTTAAAACTTCTGGGACACATTAAAATTTCTCCATAGGCAAATTTGTATTAGCCAGCACATGAGAAGTACCTTCTAAGTCTTCCAGAACTTTGACAGTGTTCTTCAATATCATGGTCTTCCCAACTGTAGCCTAAAATACAGTACCAGAAAATATATCATATATTATGGGAAACTGCAAAAGTTAAGTTATTATCTTCAGTAAACCTTAGAATAATGCCAGATTTATTCACCTCATTTTTCTTCTTTCTCAGTTGAAATTACAAAAGTGTATCAATAAATAAGGAAGAGTTGTCCCCTTATTTTAAAATGTGATAAAAAAAATTCAGTCTTACCTACAGCAGTAAGGTTTCTGTAGGTCTCCCACATTACATCTTTGTAGAGATTCTTCTGGGAAGGATCCATCAAAGTCCACTCCTCCCAAGTGAAGTCGATATGCACATCATCATAGGTCACTGCAGTCTAAAATATCCCATACATGTGTACAACAGAAAGTGTGATACTGATAGCATGGTGATGAATACTTCTTTGGCAGTATATTCATATAATTCTGGGGCTTCCCACAGTTATTCCATAACACAAAAGTTCTTATCATCAACTCATTTTAGAAAACAAAAGCTGAACAATGAGGTTCACATCTGTCATTTCTAAACATTTTGTCTAGGATACAGCCTTGCAGGAGAAACGCCTATTAAGAGATATAAAGAGGGGCTGGAGAGATGGCTCAGTGGTTAAGAGCACTGGCTGTCCTTCCAGAGGTCCTGAGTTCAATTCCCAGCAACCACATGGCTCACAACCATCTGTAATTAGATCTGGTACCCTCTTCTGGCCTGCAGGCAGACATGCAGACAACACACTGTATACATAATAAAGAAATAAATGAATCTTTTTGTTTGTTTGTTTGTTTGTTTTTTTGAGACAGGGTTTCTCTGTGTAGCTTTGTGCCTTTCCTGAATCTCGCTCTATAGACCAGGCTGGCCTCAAACTCACAAAGACCCACCTGGCTCTGGCTACCAAGTGCTGGGATTAAAGGCATGCACCACCAACGCCCAGCTAGGCTCACAACCAAAAATCTTTTTTTAAAAAAAGAGAGATTTAAGAGAGGCAAGCAAACAAATCAAAGTACACATTTGAGAAATTGAATGAACAATTACTAACTACAAAAAAGATGGGCAAGTTGGGTGTACTGGCTCAAGTCTTTAATCCCAGCACTTACAAGGCAAAGGCAGGAGAATTTGAGTTTGCTGCCAGCCTGTCTGTGCAATGAATTGCAGGTTAGCCAGTTACATATTTGTAAGACTCTTTCTCCCCAATAAAGTAAATTGTACAAGAAAGGTAGAAAGAACTCACAGGTTTCTATGGAAGTTTCTACAAAGAATTATGCATACAGTCCAGTTCTGTTTTGATCTTCCAGAAACCAGTTTAAATTATAACAATAATAAGATCTTACTAAAAGGGAATGCATGTTTAAAGTTACAAGTGAACAGATAAAAACATTAGCAATATAAATGTTGATCATAAAAAATAACATAGGACAGTAGAAATGGCTCAATATTTAAGAGCTCTTGCTGGTCTTACAGACAGTTGAGCTCATCATAAATGGGGGCTTACAACTATCCATTACTACAAGTTCAAGGTTTGTGAAACTATCTTCTGATTGCTGTGAGGACCAGGCACACATGTGGTACATATCCATGCATACAAGCAAAAGATGCACATTCCTCAAAAGAACTGAAAACCAACATAATAGGTAGGAAGAATGTCACACAGCTGCAATTGAATGACTCAGAAGGCTCATGCAGTTTTAATGTCATGAGTATGCCATCCTGGGAAAGAGAATGATACATTCTGCCATAATTCAAAATTCAAGATGTGGGAGAAGCTCAGCAAAACAGCATATGCTTGACATGTAGAAATAACTATACAATAAGTCTATCACCCAATAATATAAAAACAAAAAAGCCCAGGCATGATGGCCAACATTTAATCACAGGACATAAGAGCCAGAATAATTTGGATCTCTGAGTTTAGGTCAGTCTGGTATACAGAGGTACTTTCAGGACAGCCAGGACTACACAGAGAAACCTTCTCTTCAAAAACAAAAATAAAAACAACAAAATGGACAAAAACTCAGGTTACAAAATGGCTTAGCACTGAATATCAATTGCTTCAACTATATCTTATGGGATTTAGTGATACCATGTATAGTAGTGGTATAAGACATGACAGTCAGACACAAAGAACATGAGCTAAGGACAAGGGCTGTGGAATGCTCAGGTGACTGGGCTGTACCAGTACCTGTGCTTGAGTCCATCTGTGCTGGCTGGGAAGATGTCTGTGTGTCTGTGCTGTGGTATGGGTCTGGTGGCTTGCTAATTGTGGACATTGTTGCTGGGGTTGGGGAAACAGTTGCAGTGGCATTTTCCTGAGTCTCAGACAGGACTTTGCTGTGAACAGTTTTCCTCAGGGTGGCTGTGGTTGGTGAAGAGGTGTTTGTAACTGCCAAACTTGTCATGAGTAAAGATTTGTTTGTGTCAGTGACTTTGTCTAGTGTTAATGAGAGTGGAGTTAAAGCTGACTTCTCAGGAAGAGTGAATGTCCCAGTTCCAGATGACGGGATGGCATCCTCTGGTGTGTTTAATGCTGTTGAAGGTATTGTCATGGTCCTATTTGTTTTTCTGAGGCCTAGAGACACTGATGATCCTATTCCAGTGTTGGTGGACTTTGGTGATAATAAAGTTGTACCTAGAGGCATGATAACATTAGAAATTGTCTGTACTGACTGGAAAGGTGTCTGTGTGATTATGCTGTGGTGTGTGTCTGGTGACTTGCTCATTGTAGGGGTTGTTGCTGTGGTTGGGGGTACAGCTGCATAGGAAATGAATTGAGGCTAAAGACACTCCAATTCCTTCCCCAGTAAGGAATTTCATCCAGAAAGACTCTTCCTACTAAAGTTTCCCCAAACACCCAAAAGAAAGCCATCAAGGAGAGAGAAGTACTCAAATACATTATCCTATCTGGGAGTGTTTTCATTCAATTGAAAACATCCTGAACATAGGCTTATGGTCATCCCATGATCAAAACACATTTAGTCTATCTTCAATGATCTTCATAGTCTTCAACAGCATCTACAGTTTCAAATGTTCAAGGTCTCTTTGAACACTCAGGTGATTCCTTGACTCTGACATCTTGTAAAATCAGAAAAGAAGTTACATCTTTCCAACATACACTGGCACGGAATACCCATTACCATTCCCAAAGAGGAAGTGGAACACAGTGAGTGAAGACTGGACCAAGGCAAGACTGAAACCCAGCAGGGTAAACACCAAATCCAGCAGCTCTGTCTCAGACATATGGGACTTCAGTTTCAAAGCTTAGGTGTCTCATTTTCCTGAAATTTCTCATATATCTCTTTGGCTACTTCCATTCCCTATATGCAGCTCTCCATGGCAGATGTCTCACAGCTTTGGTATCTCAACATTTTGTGGTTTCAAAATGCAACCTGGGCTTCATGCTCAAAGCTTCAAGCAATGAACTTTCACAGGATCCTCACTGGGGCTCTGACTCTGCCAAACATAGATGACTGCAAAAGTTCTAAACCGAAACCACAGATCAGGAATCCATGACCAGAAATTTTGATTCTTTCTTATTTCCAGAAGCAGCACAAAGTTTGGCTTCTTAATTGAGACGGACCTTGCAGAGTTTGGACAACACTTGCAGCAGGTTTTGTATGAAGCTGCTTCCTGGGAAAAGGAATCAATTCGCCTAATCCTCTCATTAACTGAAGGCTTAACATGAAGCCCTTAGGGTACCTAGATAGGCTTTCTTCTCTTTAATGGTGATCTCCTTGAAAATTCCTATCTGTTTCAGCACATGACTGCCATCTGAAACTACCTTTTCATTGTCACTGGTTTCTGAAAAAATTATTACTTTTTTCACTGTAGACCTGAATGAGTCATCAGTAATAAGCAAGCAACAGATTCAATATTCCATCTAAGAAATCAGCCCATTACTTTTTAATTTGGCCTTACTCAATTTCTCAGAGCAAGGGCAGAATAAGGAAGATTCTAGGCCAAATAAGACACAAATGACCTCTAGCTTAATGTTTCATAAGAGTCTACTTCTCACTAAAATCTATGACCTTGACCTCCTCTGTGTGCATTACTCTCAAGAGTCTCATCTTCCTCATCCTACAAGAACAGCCTATTGAGTTCTGTGTACAGTAGTCTATGACTTTTGTCATTTAAGTTCTGATATCTTCTACATTCCTCTAAAGGACAACATTCCCAGATTCTTCCCAGCAACACAATCACTTTTGGTGTTCCATTTTTTGTTCTAACTTGCTTCTCTGCCGCTGTGATTAAATCCTCTAATCAAAATCATCTCAGGTAAGTTTATTTAGCTGATTCTGCCAGGTCACAATTCATCATTGTGGTATAGAAAATGAAGATAAAAACAATGGGCAAACACTGATTCCTGGCCTTTTCACTTGCTTTGTTACTGTCTTGTGCTCAGCCAGCTCTCCTTGACAGCTAATGTCTAATTACAAGTGAATAACATATCCCAGGTCCACTTGTTTAGAGATATTGCCAACTCACTGGAAGAGCCTTCCCACATCAATCATCAGCACAATCTTTTACAGACATTGCCGTTCCTGACAATTATGAATAAACCAGCTTTGAACATAGTTAAGCAAGTGCATTTGTGTCAGGATGGAGAAAAATTTGGGGGATATATGTCCAAGAGTGGTAATAGCTAGGCTTTGAGGTAGATAAATTCCCAATTATCTGAGGAACTAGTATATTGATTTCCATAATGGCTGAACAAGCTTACACTCCCACCAGCAATGGAGGAGTGTTCCCCTTGTTCCACATCCTGGCCAGCATGAGCTGTCACTTGTATCATTCATCTTAGCCACTCTGACAAGTGTAAGATGAAATACCAAAGTAATTTTGATTTACATTTCATTTATTGCCAAGGATGCTCAACATTTCCTTAAGTGTTTTTCAGTCATTTTAGATTCCTCTATTAAGAATTCTGTTTAGATATGTACCATATTTTTTAATTGAATCATTTTATTTGTTGATGTCTAGTTTCTTAAGTTGTTTATTATTCTGAGTGAGGCAACCCAGAACCACATAGACAAACGTGATATGTTATTCACTTATAATTAGACATTAGCTGTCAAGTAAACAATACCAACAATATAATCCACAGACCCAGAGAGGATAAGTAACCAGGATGGTTGTGGAGGCATGGGAATACAAAATCACTCACCCTGAAACAATAAGGTCCTCTTTCATAATGGTGACTCCAGCAGCTGATTGCCAATCCTGTTTCCCCCTAAAGTGCACACAATAAACTATTCCTCCTATTCTCGTCTGAAGGCATCAGCCACATTCCACATGCAAATCCTTTTCCTGTGACTGCAATGGATAATCAATTACATGACACAAATGGGTAATTTTAAAACTCTGAGGTGGTAGAGTCATTTAATTTAAGAATTTATAATGTTTGATCATGGAAACCTAGGTCATCACTGTGGGGACCAACGTACTGGAATCAAGGCCACTTGAATCAATATAGAAGAGTTTCTCTCAGAAAATTTTCTAAAGAGCTGGAGGTGCAGCTATTCAAGAATTAATATGCCTTTCAAAGGAGAAATCACTCCATACACTTGAGATTAAAAAAGAAAAGTCTTATTAATGATAGTATGCATCTATTTCTGACTAATGCTCAATGAGGAGCCAGCCTGGAACAGATTTTGCATTCCACATGTTCTGTCATCCTTAAGTTTCTTTTAGGTTAAGGCTCCAGTTACACTTTGAACATTTAAATAGTATCAGGAGATTGCAAATCTAGCCACTTAGGCAGATGGGAAACTCACACAGCAAAGATAATTCCAGATTTATTTCTTAAGTACCCCACTAACCTGAAACAGTAGGTCAGTCATCAGTGACAGGGTCCTGAGGTGGAAATGCCAGGAGATGAGAAGGCACCTCCTCATCCAGGGGATGAGAAGGGTAGGAAAAGTAGAAGTTAGAAAAAAATAGAGGCTGATATAGGGAGGTCTTGTACAAGTTATGCCTCATGCCAAGTAAACTTCTTAAGGAGAATAGCATCTTCCAGTGGGAAATGGAAGAAAATGAGACTTCTATGAAGCCAACAAAAACTATCATACGATGGGACAAACTCAAGAGGAGGAAATTCACACACTGCTACATAAGGAGAACACAGAGTATCTCAGAAACATTACTGGGTAAGCACACAGTGGCCTTGGGATTGATAACCATACTGCCATGTGGTAATAAGAGTTGTGTTCTCATGATCTGAAGCAACCCCTTCACAAAGGTCCTGGCCCCAGATCATTACCAGCTCTCCCTAGCATATTCCTGGTTTTAAAGAAGGATCTCTATTTTATTCTCAATATATGAAGTCCTTAGAGAAAGCTCCCAAGTCCTAGACTCCAGGCCTTTTCTGTCTCTCTGAAGCACCTTCCTTCTCTCTGTGTGAGGGCCTAGAGGAAAAGTCTTGTTGATCAGGCCACCATTCAACACAACAGTGCTTTCCTTTTCAAATAGGTATCACCTTCTCCATCTGCTAGAACCATGCTTTTCTAGAGAAAAAAATTAAGACCTTAATTGCACACTAAGCCTTAAGGTTGGTTGTGACCCTGTAGTGCCCCCTAGAAAGCTTGTTAGAGGCCTGTTTTTTGATATAAGGATGGGCCTAGTGGCTGCTTGAAAATCAGGGGTGTCTCCTTTGTCATAGTTTGGAGGCAAATGTCTGCACAATCCTGGTGAACAAATGTGTATCCTAGCATCTTAATCTCTAACAGGCCTGGTTAGCATATACTTATCTTTGTGGTATTTTAGAGGCAGCCTCCCTTAAATAAATTCTACTCTGTGTGAATTACTATCTCCTAAGCATTGGTAAATCCTTCACATCACCAATTCTACTCCTCTACATCACAGCTTAATAGTGGAGCACTACTCAACACAAGAGATACCATTTATAATCCCTATAAAATTATTTGCAAATTCATCATTAGAGAAACTAGGCCTCTACAAATTTAAGAGCTGCCTTCCATGACTGCATGAAAAGCATGTTGACCTTGACTACAAAGATGTTTCTATACATAGCTCCCTGTTCCCAATGGTCTGAGCAGAGGCAGCCCACAGAGCAATGTTATTCAGAGTCCTACACCTGGGTGCAGGGAGTTGCAAGGACCACATGGTACCTCACAGGACAGGGAATCTGGCTACAGGTTCCCACCCAACCCCAGAGAGGACTGCCACCCTGGCTTCTGAGGCTCACCATTTGCTCCTCCTGACCTAGGGACAGCAGCCTCTTGCTCACCATGCCGTGACTTCCCAGCTCACCCATGCTCTCTCCTCTGCTCCTTCCAACAGCACAGGCAGCACACAAAACCACTGGTATACACTCTGTTACAAAGACAAGCCTGCAGCCTGGCCCTAGAAAGCCCACCCCCACCACTCTCCTCTGACTGGCAGGTAAGCCTGGAGGGCCTGATTGGCTACTGAGGCCTGAGTGACAAGAGCACCTTCCTTAGGATAACTGTGTGCTTAAAGACTCTGTACAGTGAGTGGTTTCTGGCCCTGCCTTCCACCCAAGACACAGACCTTTTCTAGATCTGCAGAGATTTCCATTACAACAGCACTTGCCCCTGGCTCAAATAGCTGACCCTGCTATATTCCTGCACTCCACAGGGACTTCCCCTTCTTCCTCCTGGACACCATGTGGCTAGCTTGCACAGCCCATTACACAATGTGGAGTGGAGTGATTCCCCTCTCCACCAGGTTGAAGAATGTCCAGAATATTAACAATTAAAGAGAAATTTTAGGACACAAAATGAAATGTCTGTTTTATGGCTTCACACTGAGGTCTGATGAACTCAGGTACTTTTTACCTGGTTGTCACAGGGACTTTAGACAACCAAGAGAGAAAAGCAGGAATCAGATCACAGACAAGATAGATCTTTCTTCCATCAGAAGGCTGGATGATGGTTCCATTGCTTTAGGAGATTTATTCCTGAAATTCATTTCAATCTCTTGACAATTTAACAACAATATGAAGTGTAGTCTTCACAATAAGTTGAATATTTAAAGAGAAATGGAACAAGTTCCTTTATGAGCACTAGTGTTAGGTACAACATCTTCCTCTGGGCAAGTGAAAACAAAACAAAACAAACAGTATTAGTAACGTTCTCTGCTTGAACAGAACTGATAGAATCAGTCTCCCTATGTAGGTAGAAAGTGAATTTATTACAATGTCTCACAGTCTGTGGTCCAGCTAGTCCAACATTGGCTGTCAACCAATGAAAAGTTGAAGAATTCAGTACTTCTTCAATCCATGAGGCTGGATGTCTCGAATGGTCTTCAGTATACACCAGAATTCCTAAAAATTGGGCTCTAATGAGAGTAAATGAATGACTTTCCTAGGCAAAGAGAATGAGTTTCCTTCTTCAATATTCTTTATATATATAGGCTGCCACCAAAAGGTCTGGTCAAGATTAAAGGTGGATCAAATTACCTTGAAGATCCAGATTAATGAAGGGTCTTCCCATTTCAAAATTTTAATTAAGAATAATCTCTCACAGGTATACCCAAGTGCTGTCAGCCACAAAGATATGCAGTGGGGATTCAGCCATCATTGACAAGTCCAACCCATTAGAACTGGGGGTTCTGGTAGAGGAGTTAAAAGCCTAAAAGCAAGGTGTTTTGGAGTTATTGCCTTTTCAATATATTGGCTGTTTCCTGCAGTGAATTTCTTGTGTGAAATTGTAGCTTTCTCATCTGTTACTACCATGGAATTCAATTCAAGAGCTTCTAGCAGTGTAATTGATCATTATTGGGCACAATTTCCCCTATGCATTTGGGGTATATTAATAACTTCCCACAGTTATGTGTGAAAACAGTTACACAGGCAAAATTTTGAGACATTCTCAGACATTCAAGGACAAAGTATGAGCATATTGTTGATTTGCAACCCTTAGATAGATGGAAATGTACTCTGGCTTTACCTTACCTGCAGATAAGAAAAACTATCCTGAACTAACCTCACTAACCCTAAACTCTTAACTCCTTATACTTACTTTCACCTCAGTTTATTAACACAAGACTTTAGCTTAGAGATTTATTGCCTGTAAACACTGAGATATAGTGGAAAAGGTAATCAGCCATTTTCAAGTACATGGAGATGAGTAAACTTTCCCAAGAACCCTCCATGGCCAGAGGGGCTGGAAGGTACCAGGTTCTGTTTCTTGTACAAATTAAGCTTAATTCTATCTTGATTCTGCATCTTTAAGCAATAGGTATAATCTTTAGATCTAAGAAGTTCCTTTTAAGCAACTGATTATAGCTAAAGTGCTACAGCAGACCAAAAGCTGCACATCTTCCTCTACTGCTTAGGCAAGTTACCTAGTAACCAAGGATCTTACCCTGCCTGTTGGAAAAATGACTCATGAGAGCCCTTTGGAAGCAGAGCAGGTGGAAAAGACAGTTTTACCTTATTCATGATTTTCACTGATTAATAGATTTTTTTTAACCTTAAATGTAGCCACATTTGGGAATGTAGTTTGAGCACAGGAATTCCTCCCTCAGATTTCTTTTGTGGATTTAATTCTTAGCTGACCTCACCAAAAAACTTTCACTAGCCACTCCCACCTTGTGTCATAAGTGAAACCTGATAGTTATTGCTCTGTGTATGAATTTCAAGCCTCTCCTTGCACTGCCAAAGAATTATTGTTTTTAAATGTTTATAGACCGGTACCCTCACTGTAGAGATGATGCTTACTTGGAACAATAAAAAGATGGACTGAAAGAGCACAGTGTGAGTAGATTCATTCCTCTCCCCTCACTTCTAGTTTTCCTCCACTGGTTGTAGAGTCTCCTTTTGACTCAGAAAGTCTTTAAGGCAGGCCCCTAAAAGCTTTTGTTATCCTTACCCAATTCTTTGTGCATTAGTTAATTCCAGAGCTAGTCAGTTTTAGGTACCAAAAACAGTCATCACAGGAGGCAAGACAGAAGATCTGAGAAAGATTTCTTACCTGAAGGAGGCAAGGAGAATGTGGGCGTCATTTCCAAAGCAATGCTTTGCCTAAGCAACAGAAGCATGGGTATTTTACGTGGGCATGTAGAGTTCTGCTGTTCTCACACTGACAATGGAGAGAGAATATAAATACAGAAAACACAAAGGAAAAGTCACCTATCAGCACTGTGGTCACTGCTCTTAGTTGGATGGCTCTGCTGAGCTACTGTAACCTAAGAACAAGGCTTCTTTTGCCTCTGAGCAGGCAGGTTCAGAAGAAGGCCACAGCTGCTTCCACACAGGATCATTTTGACTAGGAGTTCATTTTAACAAGCCCTAGCTGCTGTTTGTCTCAGGACTGTGACATTGCTGTAGAGAATTCCATTATTTCCCTTTTCTAACTTTTTTAAAAATTTAGTTATATGGGTATTTTACCTGCATGTGTCTTTGCACAGAACCTACAGAGGCCAGAAGACAGCAAGATATCCCTGGGCCTGGAGTTACAGCAAATCGTTAGCTAACATGTGGGTTCTGGAAATGGAATTTGGATCTTCTGAAACAACATCCAGTGATCTTATCTACTGAACAATCTCTCTAGCCCCTTCTATTATTTTCATTTTATTTCCATACATTTTAATTAAAAGATACAGCATCACTTTCCCCTTGTTCTCTCTTCACTCCATCCCTTCTCCAATGTTTCCCTTCCAACTTCTTCCTTGTCAAGTATGTATGAGTAAGTATGCTGAAATCCATGAAGGTAACCTGCTGAGTCTGTTTTTGTTGGTTGTATATGGTTGCAGGGCTGATGACAGTGTAATAGAGAGCAGTAAGGGAATGTACATTAGTGACACAGAAGAGGACTCAAACCTGCATGTTGAAAGTGTGTTTCAGTAAGAGGCCTCGCAGATGCCCATGAATTCATATCCAGGTTCTTTTCATTTTGAACACCAAACAGGGTGGTGAAGTAGTCTCATTTCTATTAAACTGATAAAATAACCTGACTCAAAGTAACTATGGGGGAAAACATTCACTTGATTCATAATTTTATGGTACATCCCTATCAAACAGGACCTTTCCTGCCATGGTCCCCAAAGTATCATGATATTAATAATGTAAAACACTCTCACCTTCTTAAATCCCAAAGTGTTGAAAATTTTCAACATTTATTAAGTCTACAGACACATAAATGTATATTCTGTGAAAAAAAAGAGTAAGAGCCCACTGTTTTCAAAAAGGGGAGAACAGGAGAATAGCAAATAATCAATCACATTTAAGGAAACCAAAACCTAGCAGCTTCCTGTATCACACTGTACAAGTTCTGAGACTCTAATGACTTTCTGGGCTCTCAGAGACTGAGGAAGCTCCATGTTTCAGGCTCTGCCATCCCTAGCACACACAGCTTGCCTACCATCCCAGTTCTACTCCACAACTGCAGCTCTCCTTGGTTATCCTACAGTCCAGGAACCTACCACCCCTTCAGGTGTCCACTGGACACACTGACCTCTCAGGGCCTCTCCATAGGTGTTTCAAATCTGTTCCAGTGTCATCAGCTCTTCATGAGCCCTTCAGTCTTGGATTGGCAGGCAAGATACCGAGGCAGAAGAATCCCAGCAAATTACCAAACTGTCTGGGCTCTGCCCAGATATCAAGCAAATGTGGTATCTATTCCTTCGGTCTACTGTATGTGGATTCTACTTTTTACCTGACAGCTTACTGAATTTGAGGGGACCTAAAGGGGTAAAGAATAGATACAGCAGACAGGAGGAGACGTGAAGGAGATGGGAAAGGACAGGAGGAGACAGGAAAGAACCTAAGTGTCCCCAGGGCACTGGAGGTGCTTCAGTTCTCTGAGTCCCAGTATCAGCTCCCTGGAGTCTCTACTGTCTGGTCCATCTAGTCCTGACCTCCTGGAGATGGTGTACTGATGGAGCTTGGGAAGTGCTCCTATTCCCACCCTTGCAGTTACTGTTTGTACCTCAAACCAACTTGGTTTGCCCTCAGTCAAGTGACAAGGACACAGAAATATGAGCAGGGAAAGAACAGAAAAATATTAACCCTATCCAATCAGCAGCCTGGCAAAGTCTTTCCCCATCCTCTATACTCACATCCTGAGACCCTGTCACCCTAGAAATGTTGTGAGCCTGAATTTTAAGGCAATTGGAACTTCCATCTCCCACAGCTTCATCCTTGGGGTTCACATGCCTCATGGAAAAAAGACACCTTAAGCATTGGAGGTGAGATTATCCAGAGGCCCACAGTCTTGTTCTGGTCTGCAGAAGATAGCAAAGGACAGTTTCCTGAGCCCACCATAGACTTGTCTGTTCCCGGGGGACTGCCTCCATACCCCACTGTACACTCAGCCCTTGGATGATGTTGAAACCCTCAAACTCCAGCCTCTGCCTCCTAAGTTTTGTGATCACAGGGTTGGACACCATGTCTGGCTTAGGTGACTTCTTACTCAACTTTACTGAGTATCATGGAGTGAACATGTGGACACTCAAAATGTAAATTTTTAAAAGTCAATAAAAAGAAGTAACCATGGTAGTTGATTCCACTGTATCCATAGTCAGGAAGCAGATAGTGATGAATGTTGGTCATTATTACATAATTCAGTACCAAATCCATGGAATTGAATGGTGCTATCATTTCTAGAAGGCAGAAGAGTCTTCTCATCTCAATGAACTTAATATATAAAATAATCTCTCATAAGCACACCTCAGAGAATAACATGACCTAGATAAGCCCTCAGAGGTGTGACTGGAGGAGTGTCCCTTGACTGACTCTTATCAAGTTGAAAATCAATATTAGCCATTACACAAAATTAATAAAATTTGCTGTGCAGACTGCCTGTGTAGACAGTGACACTATTCCTTTTTTAAATGATATCTCAAATACCAATGAGCCATGTTTGAAGACAAAGTACATAAAACATAGGAGTATGGACTTACTCCTTTCCCAGATGTAAGCAGCAATTTGCTGAGAATCTCCAGGACAGGATTATGAACTCCATGTAGAGCAAGGCATGGTGCAGAACCCTTCTGACCCATATTTTTACTTTATTAAATCAGAATCCTACCCAAGCCACCTCAGCAACTGACAGATGATCTTTTTTACCAAAGAGAAGGAAAGAGGGAGACAGAGAGACAGAAAGACAGAGAGAAGGAGAGGGAGAGAGAGAGAGAGAGAGAGAGAGAGAGAGAGAGAGAGAGAGAAAGAAAGAAAGAAAGAAAGAAAGAGAGAGACTCCCTAAGGACCCATTAAAATGGAACTTACAAAGTGAACAAACTGTAAATATGGCTTTGTGTCAGTTCTTAAGTGTGGCTCTCCCTCACAAGACTACACTATCCAAAAGTCCTTTTTTTCTAATAATATCTGTGCTAAATCCATGATAAACATCTCTTTTTAGCCAGGTGTGGTCATATGAGTCAGAGGCAGGTGGATGTCTGTGAGTTCCAGGTCTAGCCTATCTACTACATAGAGAGTTCCAGGTCAGACAG